GCTCTGAGCCTTCCTTGTCATCTCCAATTCCCCCAAAGCCCGAGCAAAGAAGAAGTGCGGGTCGAGCTGTTAGCTTCGATGCTAGCATGCCGGACCACAATGTGGATGACCCTGGTGCGGATCCCAAAAGGAGTGTTTAGACGATCCGTTTGAGGAGTCTGTCTCTTGTTTAATAAACTATGGAATCCCTTCAACCCCCCCCCCTCCAATCCGCCCCTACTCTTTCCTGCTTCACTGAGCCCATAAACAGTCAGATATTGATAACTTGTAATTTAATATTAACAAGTTCTGTCTTCACATAATGGAAATTCAAAATTTAGCCTTTAGCCAACCCGCTTTGAACCTGACAACGACATACATTCTTAATAGTCCTCAGCCAGCACAAACTCCGACAATGAATCCCAAGGCTTCCTTCATCTTTACCATTAAAAGATTATGTTATACTGAAAAATTGTATTATATTTTCAAAATTTAATTGGCATTCCAACCAGGTAAAAACAGCAGAACATGGTAACTATCAAAATTAAAAACAAATGTTCAGGTTTCTTGAGGTGGGGTGGGGGCGGGGGGGGGGCTTATTGAGTCAGTGGATGACAACAGACAGTGCTCAGTAAGTCAGACTTCAACAAAGATACACAATCTTTTTAGCTGACTAATTGACGGGAAAACTGATGACAACGTGGAAACTAAGAGACTGAAAGAGATTAAACAAAAAGGTGAATATATCGCGGAAAGAAGGGGTTAATTTAATGTATATCATTATGGTCTGATGTGGTTTAGATGTTGTTCGATTTTTTAAGTTCTTTTCGAAGGTTTGTTTTGTTTAAGTTAGCCCTGGCTATCGGCCGGTCGATAGGTTCCCACATAACATGGAGCAATTCAGCCTTGTGATGCCAAACCTCTATTTTTGATTCATGCCCGCCATACACGAAGCAAGACAATGGCGAAAGTCGACTCTCCCAGGAGCCATTCGAGTTCAAGATGAACACGTATTGCCACAGAGCATCATCAAACGCCATGCTCGTGCGACTTTTATCAGTTTCGCTAGAGAACGGTAATGTCAATCATGCTGCAATAAGGATGAAATATCCGTGACAGAACATAATAAAAGTTTTCAATTAAAATAATTAAATCGACATCAGTTTGGCATTTGCTAGAGTGCGGTACTTTTTGGCCAGTCCGTGTTTTGTTTTGTTTTTTTCATTATAATTTTGAGC